CTCTCACCTCCTTAGGGGTTTATCTGTCCTGGATTCCCTGTGTTTCCAGTTGCTATCTGTACCAGTGTACATCCTCTGGTCTAGCCAGATTTGTAAGATAGAATTGGGATCATTACAGTGGCCAGTGGTGGGGGGGTGGGGGATGGAGGGGAGCATTAAGGAACTAGAGGAAAGTTGTATGTTTCCTTGGTGGTATTCTGCACCCTGACTAGTTCATCTCCTCCCGTGACCCCTCTGTAAGGGGATGCCCAGTTGCCTAGATGGGCTTTGGGTCTCCACTCCGCACTCCCCCTCATTCACAATGATAAGATTTTGTTTTTTCCTTTGATGCCTAAAACCTAATCCCATCAACAGCTTGTGATCACACAGGTTGATGTGCTTCTTCCATGGGGGCTTTGTTGCTTCTCAGCTAAATGTCCGTGTGTTTATCTTCAAGCCTTTATGACCTCAGAAGCTGTATCTTTTGATAGTTTCAGCACATTTTATATGCAGTTTTTGTGGTAAAATTAGAGGCCTCAGGCGATATTCGGGTCAGCTTATACTCGAGTATATACGGTAAGTATACCACATGGGACTTGAATCAAATAACCAAGAGTGGGAGGGAAAAGGGATAAAACAGAATTGACCATAAATTGGTAACTGTTCATTCTCTCTACTTGCCTGAGTGCTTGGCATTTCCCGTAATAAAAGTGAAACAAAAACATAATGTGAAGGACCCCAAAGGAGACGCATCCCAGTCTTGCCAAAATGACAGGAAACTGCAAGGTGTGGCTGAGCAATCCCACTGAAGAGATCATTCATAATAGCCCAATTCCAGAAGAGAGCAAGCCATGGAGCACCAAGCTAGAGGTGAAATATGGAAACACCTCATTCTACTGCATGTGCATCCTTTTCCAAACAAAGTCTCAACTTTTGCTCCTTAAATACACCACGTGATGCGCTTACAGAGAATCAACACCATACACACAGCCCTGTGCCAACTGCACCTTGGTCTTCACATCTTTGACAGTAAGAATGCACTCAATCTCCAATTTGGTGGAGCATTTAAATCTAAGCCCAGTTTTCAGAAAAATCTGTGCTTATGCTTACTCTGCTTTAGATGCTTTACGGCTTAGACTTACCGTGCAAAAGGCACAAACAGGAGTTTTCAAAACACCGTCTGGAGGCTGCCTTCTTTCCCACCCTGGCCTGAGCTGTCCCCGTGGTGAGCTCTCCCCCTGGGTTAGGGCAGGGATCTGCAGAGTCTAAGCTGGGCAGCCTCCCGCCGCCGCTCTGCTCTCAGAAATGAACAGCCACTTACTTTCAGCTCAACAAGCTTATCCACATAAACTTGCTTTGGCTGGTCTTCTCCGTCCTCATACAGCCAGTTTTCAGTATCTTCTAGTTTCAAGGAAAAACTGCTACGATCCTGAAGATTAAAACAAATTTGTAGTTTTAGTCAAGTCAAAGCCCTTTAATTTCTTAACTGCTACCTCCATGGATGTCCACACATTGGCATGCCAGTTCACTAACAGCATGCAAGTATGTAACAAAATGTCTCAACACCGACTAGCCTTTGAGAGATTTTGCACTAATCAAAAGATGTAAGTTGTTCAAAATAAAACCTGCATGCCACCCCCAAGAAAAAAATCATTTTACTGCGCATTCACAGGCAGGCTACCCTAACCGGTTCCCAATGCTCCCTGAGAAAACACAGCAGCGGTGGGAACACTGTGGTGCATACTTACGTCTTCACTCACAAATTTCTCATATTCTCCACTGAGTTTGTCTCTCATTTCGTACACGTATTCTTCCACTGCATTCTTGGCATCGTTCCGTTCCTTCTCAAGTTTATCCTGCATGATCATCTTGCCCTGAGCACAGAATTAGACATCAGTATAAATGAGACCATTGCTTTGTAAATACCTGCTAACATCCTTATAAAAG